GCGAACATCGAACAGAGAGGTGAGTGATGCTGCTGAGTGAGCACCTGTATCCCCCAAAGTCTGTCCAATTATCCCGCTGTATTCACGATACAATGCATCTCCCCCTATTATGTGCTCCCCAGGTTAAACCAATGCTTGGGGGGAGGGGGGGAGGGGGGGGCTTAGCTGTTGTCAGCAACCAACTGTAACGGCACCATCAGCCATCCCCTTTAGATTATCGCCCAGAGGTCACCCTGTGTTGAGCCACACCGTGGGGTCCCGGGTGTGAACGGAGCTAAGGCGTCAGAGGAGTCACCTTTAAAGCATAATAAGGAGACTGCTGACTGACTGCAGACCACCCAGAGGGGGATCCGTGCTTCTCGCATGAATATAAATGTAATATTGACAGGAAATCTTCCCCGGGAGAGAGGAAGGAGAAGACAGGCCGGGGAGACGGAGCAAGTGAAAGGTAGTGAGAATAAATGAGAGGGTGCGGGAGGACCGAACACTCCGGTTCACTTCACACCGTTAAACCGTCTGAAGCATCCGCTGGTGACTACTGGTTGATGGGCCGGTGCGAGCGCTGTGTTATCATAAACATTTGGGATTCACTTCATGGAGGCACTTTAATGACGCTTTTAGCATAATTTCCCCCACTGTAATGGGAAGTGAAGGGCAAGCAGCGCCTTTCTGTCTGCCTGTAGCTTCTGTGAACCGTATAAATATTGGCCATTGGAACCAGGAGGCACACTGCACTGAGACACCGCGGCTTCAAATCAAGGCATCGGGGGGAAAAACTCTCCAAAATCAATATCATAGTCAAATGACGCAAAGCACCGTCTTTGTGTGACATTTGGAAGCGTGAAACTTACTAATTTTATGATTTTCTTTTTTTCTTCCAGAACAAAATAATAAAATAAATACAGTGGAAGGAATTTTAGCTTTGAAGGTAAACCACATGCATCTTCAGAGCATCACAGAGATTCTGGTCCGATCCAAAGACAGCAAATGTCAGCTTCATGCTCATATTGGCCCTAACGTGTGTAACATCAAAGCAGGGCGTACATTGTCAGAAACCATATGATGTTACAGAGTTGTTTTGCAAATTCTTGGCTCTCCACACAGAGAAAGAGAGAGAAAAAAAAAAAAAAAGTAGAAAAGGACAGCTTTGTTTTCATCCGGGCTGTTATCAGCAGAAAGCCGACTGCAGCGAGGAAAGGGAGGGATGATTTCCATAAAGACTGGCTGTTGTCTGAAAGCAAGCAGCTGTCAGGCGGAATTACCTCTCCGACACAGACACCACAATCGAGGGCGCCCTTCCCATAATTCAGTCTGATTGGCTCAAGGGGAAAATGGCAGCCTGCAGAGAGTGAGGCGAGCGGATGGTTGACAGGTTTGCATCGGCGAAGCTCGACGCGGCGTTTACCTGTTATCATTCTGTCTGCTCCACGCGTCAGTTTTCACAGTTCGGGAAAGCTACCTGAACAAAGTGACATGGAGAAGGGAGTCCATGGTGTCAGGAGGCAAATGTGTGCCTATACTCAATGTCTCTCTCTCTCTCTCTCTCTCTCTCTCTCTCTCTCTCTCTCTCTCTCACACGTTTTTGTGTCGCATGGATTATGGTTTTTAGATACACTGATGTCTTGACCTATTATCCTGACATATATACAGTAGACCAAATAGTTGCTTATATTGAACCTTAGTTGAACAATAGTTACATTCATGGTGGAAATGACAGGGAGGCAGGGGGGGGTCTGACTCCCCTAATTAAGACTTGGACCCCCTTACCTCTCCAGGTGACTTCGACTACCCCGAATTGTCATCATATGATTCACACTCTTGTTACATCATATAGAACATTTTGTTAAGTACTTATCTGCCTTGCCTGAGAGGCTAATAGCTTAGCTTAGCATAAAGACTAGAAAGAGGTAGAAACTGCTAGCCTGGTTCTCCAAATACACCAAACAAGCATGTAATAAACACTTACAAACTCTTGTTTGTTGAATCTTCTGGCATCCAGTCTTAATGCTAAGCTAGGCTAATCACCTCCTGGCTCTATATGCAGGAGAGTGTCATCAATAAACAAATAACCCAAAATGACAAACTAAACTATTAATGTAGGGCCATACTTATTTCCCTGATCTTTTAATTAACCTAACCAAGTAGTCTGTTGCATTTTCATTTCAATTTTATTTACAACATTAACCTTGAAAACTACGACCGTAACCTGGGAGAGAATATTTAATAAATGATATAATTCCCTCCAAACATAATAGAGAGTGCAGTTTAGTCTTAAGGGAATGTCACTTTGTAGGAGAGGTAACATGACCTAAATCAAAAACCTCTCAAATGTCTATTTGTTTGTGTGAATGTACACACAAAATAGAATCCTTGTGTACTGTGTATACAGGCACACACACAGATACACGCACAAACTTGCACTCACACAGATATACACTCAAACACACACACACACACACACCTATGCTAAGTGCTCTTATCTGTGACTTGTGTAGAGGTGAGTGACAGGAAGGGAGGTGCAGGGGGGAAGTGTCCTTTAGGTATCTTAATTATGGCTCCTCTCCTCCCTCTCGCTGTCACCGTCCCCGGGGGTGGGCGAGACAAAAGGAAGGCAATGTTTCATCTCTGCTGCCTTGGTATTTCAAATTCCAAGGGGAGTAAGAGGAGAGAGACAGCAGGGTGTTACATCGGAGGAAGAAGAGGAAATCAAGTGACGCTTCCCTCTTCGCCTCGGTGTCTCTCTTCATGCCTCCTATGCAGCTGTGCTTAAAATAAGGCACCATAATAAAAGCGTTTTAAAGGCTGGGAAAAAAAAAGGCGCAACTTGATTACCGTGACGGTTTTATTTAATGAGCGCAAAGCCTCTGGCTCCGACTTGCTATTCGTTTATTACTTTGTTGTGGAGAGATATATGTGACAAAATGGAGCTGGGGGAGTGAGCGAATGAGGCTGAATGCTCTTATTGTGGAAGTCGTCTGTGGTGTTGGCAATCGTCTTTGCGATTTACACCTTCCCCGAAGCGCACCTGGGCCTTTCATCCGGCCCCCGCCAGGGGAACGCGGCTCCGCCGTGACGGAGAGGAGGGTGTCAGAGACACCTTGGCAGGTAGGCAGACACAAAGACGGCCTGCTGTTAATTATTGATGGGAATAAATTGCACTCGCTGCATATCTGGCAGGGGAACACACGGTGGATGGGAATACAAATGTGTTTTTACAAATGTGAAGAGGAAACGGCGATGAGGGGTTCGAGAGAACGGAGAGGGGGCAAGGTAGAGGACCCGATAGGGTGATGGGAGTGATACCTGGTAAAGAGACATCACAGAGACGGAGAGGGAGTCCATAAAAGCAAACTACTCCTTAATGTCTCTCACAAGTGTGATAAAAGCACAGAGCTCCGGCACAGAATGCTGGCCTTTCTATTTGTGTGAACAGAACAATGGATCATCACAAAAAAAACGAACTATTATACAGAAATGCTAATAGGAAATGATTTTGTGAATGTGCCCACACATGCACACCTATGCAAACAAACATCCTTAAAAAGGTCAGCTCTTTAGATTTGGGACGCCAGACCTCTCTCATGAACATATTGACTGAGAAAAGGGGAGCGATGCAAAGTAGGGGTGTGAAAATAAACCGGGCAAAGAGCACGGGAGTCTTATCTGTATTCTGAGAGGCTGGCTTCTTATAAATATTGGAAGAAGGACACTGGTGGGGAGAGGAAACGGCCAAATGGTGCATTTGAGAAATGGCACACCTGAGCACCGCTCGGAATATCATCTCCTCCTGTCAGATCTCATCCCATTTGATCAGAATAATTGCCACCTTCATCGTTATCATCAATTCTGTCATCTGCGCTGGCTCCATCGCCGTGCTCCATCTCGTCGGGGCTTCTTTGGCTTCAAGGAGGGGGGGGGGGATTTTCTGGATCAGATCAAATGCTGAGAAAATCACTCATAGTCATCAGCATATTCATTGCTTTAATGCTACTGACATTTTGCTCACCTATTCAAATATTCTGACAGCAGCAAATCCTGGGCTGGTACAGAAATAGCCTGGTTTAGCCATGTGGGCTCGTCTATCATAGATGTCCGGAGAGAGAGCCCCGCTGCGCTTAAAGTCTGTGATGAGTCTCGCTACAGCGGCAAGGGAATGAAAGATTTAGAAAAGACAGATGCGGAAAGGACGGCTGCTAGCCTGGACCGAGGGTCGACATACATTTATAATAGAACTGATGTTCTTTTGGGGACAACCAAATACGCAACAATCAATATTAAGTCCCAATCCGCTACAAGATTCTGAGGTTCAAGGGTGAATAAGCACACAACCCCAGCCACTGTGTTCTTACTCAAAGCCACACCTCTCCATGTGCGTCTGTGTCTGTCAACCCGGCTCCGTTGTGCAACTCACCGGGGCCCTCTTTGTCCAACTGAAACAGCTCGTCTCATCTGCTTCCACTTTAGCGGGCTAATAACACTACGCAACACGGGACGAGCGGCTGGTCAATCTTCAGCTACAGCCGGGCCAGCTCACATGCTGGCACCCAAGTCCGTTTGCCGTGGAAGGACCCCACGGACGCACATGCTCCCACGAGGGACCCGCATGCAGGACAAAGTCTTGATGCTGGATTGTGCGAGACTGCAGCTTTGCCCCGTCACAGAGTGCCGGTAAGATAAAACAGACCCCACAGGCACCGCAGTCGCCTCCCAGCTTGTCATATAGCCATACAAACGCACTTATAAGCCCACATTTAAGAGCCTTCTTGTATTAGAGTGAGCGAGTTAGTCATTAAACAGCAAAGCTATGCGGAAAATTACTTTCTATAAAAGTGTGTTTATGGACAAAACCAGTTTTGGGGAGCTTTCCGATCCATCAAAGTCTATGAAGTGTGATAAGTGCACAGTATTAAATCCCCGGAGGGAGCGAGACGCGCAACAAAAGTGCTAATGATAATGCAAGGGGAAGTGGCGGCGCTAAGTTGTTTTTAAACACTCCTTACCTTGGCCATTTGGGCCTGCACCCCAGTGGCTTTGAGAGATGACACGGCCTTCTGTGCTGCAGCTGGGCTGTCAAAATCCACAAAGCCATAGCCTGGAGAGAGAAAAGAAGGGAGGGAGGGAGGGAGGGAGAGAGAAGGAAAGAAAGTCAGGCATTAGTAGAGACGAAATGAAGGCCGATGACTAACAAGGAGACTGACAGGCACTTGGTAATTGTAGCAGTAATAGGTTGGTAACATGACTACAGAGGCTGCCAGTTCTCATATCTGGTGAGCACTACATTGTTTGATAATTAGCGACACTGACGTTCATAGGGGGATGCTATGCATCTTAATTAGTAGCATGGATGAGCGATTTAGTAATAACAAACCCCAGCACCCTGCCCACCTCCACACACACACACACACATATATATGCAAACACACACACACACATACACACAGATACGCAAACAAAAACACACGCGCGCCGAGTAGCGTGAGAATCAAGAACACAGGCCGTCGCTGTTCTTACTTGTAGGTTAATGACAACCCGTACGCATGTTCGGAGAAGTCCGTGATTAAAGGGACAATGCACGCATGTGCTCATCTTCATACTCGTTCAGCCTTTTGATCTTCTGAGGCTGTGACGTTGGCCGGCCCACATCGTGTTCCTCAAAACCCGGCGTATTTAGCACAGCCTCATTTCACATCCTGCGTAATCCTCTCCTCGGTAGCAAATCTATTAAAGGTCGACAGCGTGCACCAGAGATGCTGCCGTCTCTCTTACATACACATAAACACTCATCTTTCTCAAACGGAGCCTTTCTGTCCACCTACTTATACAGTCTTTGTCCCTCTCCGGTCTCTAAAACACTCTCTCTCAACGTCTCCCCCCCCCCCCCCAGACATTACCAGCCACCGGCCCCCATCTGGAAATCCATCACCGGAGGAAAGCGGAAGGGAATGAAATCTGCGGCTGTGATTTATGAGTTATTGTGATCCCGACGTTCTCCGGGATGTATCGGAGACGGGGGGGTCACGTCTGTGTTAATTAAAATTTGGTGGCGGATTAAAAGCAGTCAATGGGTGCCCTATGATCCACTGTTTCAGAGGGAAAGTGTAATTAGAAAAGGATAATGGGTGTGAGGCAGGGGGCGGGGGGAGGCTGGCTGCTGTGGTTACCCCATCATGTCACAGACAATTGCGCGCTAACACGCGTATGAGCACACGCATGCACGTTAACGCCTCACTTTCTCACCCTGCGTTTTTTTTTCTCACAAAAAAGAAAAGAAGATCTCACTTTTCAGACATTGTAGGTGTGTGTGTGTGTGTGTGTGTGTGTGTGTGTGTGTGTGTGTGTGTG